AGTGCTGCGTAAATTGATGACGCTATATAAATACTTGTAATAAGTTTTGTGTTGACAAATCAGTACAATCTTTTAGCCCAGGTCTAAACATGTAACACTATGAACTTGTTTGCCTCTACTAGAAATAGCATTCTGTTCTTCTTTACAGAAGAAGATTGGTTTGGAAACCAAACTTCATGATCATTGCAAAATCAAATTCATGATTACTCTTCTACCTGAAAATTATTAGGAGATGTAAAGTTTTCCTTAAAGGATTGTTTTCCATCTTGATGTAGCTTTGCCCTAATGATAGGATAAAAAGGAATAAATGAACAATCTTACAATGGGAAAGGGGCAAAAGTGAATATTTAGACATTAATGAGTAATGTTAGTGAAGCGTTACTGAGTGTAGAGAGTGCAGCATGTTTTCATATCAATCCAAATCACTTCAATGCTTCCACAGAAAGTCTAGGTAAAGTTAGTGAAAGGCAGGTACAGCCAACTACAGTATACGCCAAAAAAATCTAAAGTAAAAGTTTGATTAGTGTAATATGTGTAATTTGTTTTAAACATGTGGGACACTGTCATGTTTAGAATGTACTTTCAAGTGCTATTCTGCAGCATTTAGATTATTTACAGCAGGAAGGAACAAAGTGATGTTAAGGTGGAAGTAAAAGCTCTGAGTACTGATGATAACAGGTTAAAATACAGATGGAGTTGTCTTTTAATACTACATAGAACAAGTCAGAAAGAGGAGTGCAATTTTTATTAATTAAAAGTAAATCTATGACGGACTGAGGTCAAACTTTTTTTTTACATTATTTAAAAGCTATAAACTTTAAGCTGTTGCTTTAAAGATTTCACTACTGGGAATTTCTTACCATTTATGTAATACTTTTATTTTACAAAGTGACATTTAATACATAAGTGCACCTATAATACTGGTGTCACAGAATGTTATGCTTTTTCTAATCACAGAAGCACAGGCAGTTTTCTTTCAGACCGTCTCTCTGTAATTAAATCTCTATGGTGCTGTATGAACAGGGCTGGGAGAGAGGAGGAGGGAGGTGAGTAAATAATATGTGTTTTTCAGGATAGCAGCTAAAGCCTGGTATACACATTGAGTTTTTTTTCTCGTTCAACCCAGTGTGCTGAACAACAAAAAAAAAAAACCTGAGATATCGCTGCACTAACAAGCAATGTTATTATAGTGATCTTTCCCACTGTGTATTGGTTCTGACGAGGGGCCCTTCCCCTGCAGGGGGGGGGGGCCTTCCCCTGCCCATCACAACCCAGTATTTAGGTGTTGGTTGGATGGTGGTTTTACAGCATGTCTCTTCGACAGAAGCCAGTCTGTAGACCGTCTTCTAACAGAAGGACATCTGTACACACAGTCCGAATGTGTGTATTCGGACCGTGTGTACTCAGCTTTAATTGTCCTGGAAAAACATAAGAACAAGAGTCTAATGGTCCTCTTGCTGGTTGCAAATGTAAATATAAAATAACCTAAGCAAAATATCATATTTACCTAAATTAAAAAAAATAAGATAACATTTTATTTCACATTTTATTTTTTAACTGCAGGAAGAAACAAAATATATGCAAAAACATTGATTGCACATTCATCTCAGATTGTACTAGTAGAGTATACTCCTAAAGAAGCACTGTAAATAGATGTCTGATCATATTTACTAGCAAAGATAATGAATAGAATATGGTGGCTTCAACTTAATAAGGTGAGAACAAAACGCTATGTGCAAATGCTATATTTGATTTAATTGTTAACACTATTATAGAATTAGTGTGGTTAGCTGCTGAGGGTTGCCATATATATATATGCTTGTCATTGCTCTTTCTTTGTTAAATAAGATTACTTGCCCAGTTTTTGATATAGTATTATAAAAATCAAGTCTTTTGATCAAGCTATAATTATATTTACCTTTTTATGTTCTCTGTATCTGCCATATAAAAAATATATATTGTACATTCAGGAATCCCTGTTTTTGAATACTAGATGTGACAAACGTGGTGTCAGACCATTCCCTCTTTACCCTCTTTCCATCTTGCAGAACAGTAATCTAAGTTCCAATAGAATGAGAGTGATTTTAGGTGAGGAAGCAATTAACTCAGTACTCTGCCACCAGGTAGGGGGTTTGGCTTATCATTATAATAGCAATATCAATTTATGACTTTAAATACACGTCTGTACACACACTGTCACCACAGACAGGTATATCACTGGGTTTAGGTGAGGAAGCAATTAACTCAGTACTCTGCCACCAGGTAGGGGGTTTGGCTTATCATTATAATAGCAATATCAATTTATGACTTTTTACTTTTTGGAATACACGTCCAGACAGAAAGAACAGACTGTACACACACTGTCACCACAGACAGGTATATCCATACATGTACCATGTAGTAGCGCTCTTCAAGATGTAGGGATTCATTAAGGTCGGGAATGCATTAGTGCATTCAAGACAATTTTAACACTTTTTGAAATATTGTTTAATAATGGAAAGGTAAAAATGATGCAAATAAAATATTTACAGAAAAGGGTATAACAAAAGAAATAAAGAGACAACGATGTAACAGCAAGCAAAAAGGGTTGACGAATGTATGTTAATTATCAAGTACTGGTTGGAGTCCAATTGATAGGCAAGATGGTACAGTGGTTATCATAAAACAGATTTTTCAGGTTTGCTGGTACAGGAGAGGTGTCAAATGTGGATGCAGTCCCTCTCTTCTCATCCATAAGGAGGGTGTTGCCAGAAGTCATCTGACTAATCAACAGGCTGACAAGTAGCCAATGTTTACGACTGTACCGGGGCCCCTTCTTACAGAAAGTTTTATACAAATATTAGTATCTTCAAATACAGTGGGGCAAAAAAGTATTTAGTCAGCTACCAATTGTGCAAGTTCTCCCACTTAAAAAGATGAAAGAGGCCTGTAATTGGCATCATAGGTAGACCTCAACTATGAGAGACAAAATGAGAAAAAAAATCCAGACAATCACATTGGCTGATTTGGAAAGAATTTATTTGCAAATTATGGTGGAAAATAAGTATTTGGTCAATATGAAAAGTTCATCTCAATACTTTGTTCTATATCCTTTGTTGGCAATGACAGAGGTCAAAAGTTTCCTGTAAGTCTTCACAAGGTTGGCACACGCTGTTGCTGGTATGTTGGCCCATTCCTCCATGCAGATCTCCTCTAGAGCAGTGATGTTTTGGGGTTTGTCGCTGGGCAACACGGACTTTCAACTCCTCCCCCTCCAAAGGTTTTCTATGGGGTTGAGATCTGGAGACTGGCTAGGCCACTCCAGGACCTTGAAATGCTTCTTACGAAGCCACTCCTTCGTTGCCCAGGCAGTATGTTTGGGATCATTGTCATGTTGAAGACCCAGCCCTGTTTCATCTTCAATGCCCTTGCTGATGGAAGGAGGTTTGCACTCAAAATCTCACGATACATGGCCCCATTCATTCTGTCATGTACATGGATCAGTCGTCCTGGTTCCTATGCGGAGAAACAGCCCCAAAGCATGATGTTGCCACCCCCATGCTTCACAGTAGGTATGGTGTTCTCTGGATGCAACTCAGCATTCTCTCTCCTCCAAACACGACGAGTTGTGTTTCCACCAAACAGTTCTATTTTGGTTTCATCTGACCATATGACATTTTCCCAATCCTCTTCTGGATAATCCAAATGCTCTCTAGCAAACTTCAGACAGGCCCGGACATGTACTGGCTTAAGCAGGGGGACACGTCTGGCACTGCAGGATCTGAGTCCCTGGCTGTGTAGTGTGTTACTGATGGTAGCCTTTGTTACGTTGGTCCCAGCTCTCTGCAGGTCATTCACTAGGTCCCCCCGTGTGGTCCTATGATTTTTGATCACCGTTCTTGTGATCATTTTGACCCCACGGGGTGAGATCTTGCGTGGAGCCCCAGATCGAAGGAGATTATCAGTGGTCTTGTATGTCTTCCATTTTCTAATTATTGCTCCCACAGTTGATTTGTTCACACCAAGCTGCTTGCCTATTGCAGATTCAGTCTTCCCAGCCTGGTAAAGGTCTACAATTTTGTTTCTGGTGTCCTTCGACGGCTCTTTAGTCTTCACCATAGTGGAGTTTGGAGTGCGACTGTTTGAGGTTGTGGACAGGTGTCTTTTATACTGATAACAAGTTCAAACAGGTGCCATTGATACAGGTAATGAGTGCAGGACAGAGGAGCCTCCTAAAGAAGAAGGGACAGGTCTGTGAGAGCCAGAAATCTTGCTTGTTTGTAGGTGACCAAATACTTATTTTCTACCATAATTTGCAAATAAATTCTTTCCAAATCAGCCAATGTGATTGTCTGGATTTTTTTTCTCATTTTGTTTATCATACTTGAGGTCTACCTATGATGCCAATTACAGGCCTCTCTCATCTTTTTAAGTGGGAGAACTTGCACAATTGGTGGCTGACTAAATACTTTTTTGCCCCACTGTATGTACAGGTTGAATTCTGGGAACTGGTAGAATACTGTCCAGCACTGAATTCCCATTCCAGAGATACTAAGCATATTATCTCTCAGATAGGTATGTCACCCAGGAGATGCGGGACAGCTCTCTCATCTTCTGTATACGATAGCCTAGTCATGTGTGACCTTGATTTGCTTTTTTCCCCCATTGAAATACATAAGTAATATTAATGTATCTTGGTCCTGGCTTATTTCATGAATCATATGTAGATTTTGAAATTGTGATTGAAACAGAAGTCTCTTGCTGGTCGCTTCAGGACTTAATAGCTTTTACGATATGCATTGGCCCTGTGTAAGATGTTTTATAGCACGCCACAGACTCTTAATGGGTTTATTTAGCCTGACGCTCCAATCCTGACAGATTAACCTCCCTGGTGGTATTCCTGAGAGTAGCTCGGGGTAAAGTTTCAGCACCACAAGCGGTAACCCCGAGCTACACTCGGGAATACCCTGCAGCGTTGCTCCGGGATCTCTTCTTCACTTACCTTGCCCTGCGCTCCCGCGATGTCCCCTCTGCTGCATCCCCGGCCATCTCCTCTGGCCGATGCCGGCATCTTTCTTCCGGGTTCCGTTCCCCTGCGATGTTGGAACTGGCGGGAAATTTTAAAATGCCAAAAAGTGACATTCACTAAATACACTAAAATCACATAGTGAAACATTACTTATCAAACCATTTCACATACATTTTGTCCCTAGTGCTTTGTCCTGTGCCCTGCCTGCATTTTTACTGTTCTTTCTGCCTTGAAGCTGAGAAACGTCCACGGCGTCCAAAAAGCGTCCCTTTAGGTCAAAAACGGTTTTAGACCAGCTAGAGAACAGCGATAGTAAATTAAAACTATTTGCAGAATTGAGTGATGATTCGTGGGGAAATTCGTCATCAGACACTGAAAACGATTTTGCGACTTTACTCAGTGATGTGCAAACTTGGCGCTATATTTCAAATTTCAGTGTTTTTGGTTTGATTATATTATTGAATTAAATTTATTATTATTATATTAATATTTATTAAATTATAATTTATAATTTTGTGTTTCAAATTTTAACATACCCGGGATGTTTACTAGACTCTTGTTCGGACAGATTGCAGTGAGTTATTCCTAAAAATTACAGGCCTATAATAAATAAAAATAAATATTTCCAAGCAAAAAAAAGTACCGCTTTGAGCACAGAAATACTGACATAATCAGACCGCTAGGGAGGCTACCATATTTTATGGATAGCTATTAGACTGAAATGGGGATTTGCCTAATAGGATGAGAAGGGTCTGTGTGTCCTCTCAATGAACTGATAAAAATATACTGTTCCAGATTTTTTGCCAAAACATTCCAATTACACTGGCCTGCATTTTAAAACTTTTTTTCAAAGGTCAAATGTTTCACAACATATTTAGGATAATTTTTGAATGCTGAATTCAAAAATATCATTCATTTTCTTTGTTCAGGTCTGGTTTCGAAGATATGCTGAATTTGGGTTACAACATATTTTACCAAAATAGTGCTATCATTCAAGCTTCTATGAACTCTGTTTCTGTTACAAATGGTCATAGATAACCGTAAATAACATATTTTTCTTTTCATGTGTATTGCAATGAATCGTAAGTGTAAGAACCATCCTAATAGGTTCTGCTATATCTGCAGACAGTGGTTCTTCGAAACCGTAAAGCAAAAATCACAGGTTTTGTGAAGCAGGAAAATCATGCTTACTTTGGAGTCAAACTAGGGGACCAGGATAAGCCCCATATCTGCTGTGAAACGTGTGGAGAACCTACAGGATTGGAGGAATAACAAAAGGAAGAGTATGCCATTTGCTGTCCCAATGGTGTGGAGAGAAGTTAAAGATCACATCACCAACTGTTACTTCTGCATGACAACCTAAAAGGCATCAATGGCAAGAACAAGCATCATGTTCAGTACCTTGATGTTCCTTCTGCCATAAAACCTGTCCCCCATGGTGACCATCTTCCTATTCCGGAGCTGAATGTCACCATGAAATCTGATCCCAAATGTAGTGAGACAACCAATACAGCTGAGTGTCAGGCATACCAGCAAGAAGAGGCCGACTGATTGATGCCATTGACCCAAGCCGAACTCAACAACCTGATAAGAGATCTGAACCTTTCCAGGAAGTCTGCTCAGCTATTGGGTTCACATCTTTGAGAGAAAAATCTGCTGGCACCAAGGACAACATTCTATTGGTATCGGGACCGTGAGAGAGAATTTAGAAAGTTCTTCACATTTGATAAAGCGTCTTCACTGGTCTACTGCAACAACATTGCTGACCTGATCAAATTAATGGGTGTGAAGTATGATGCCATGCTATGGAGACTTTTCATTGACTCGTCCAAGAGAAGTCTCAAGACAGTTCTTCTGAATAATGAAAATAAGTAGTCATCGATCCCCGTTGGACACTCAATGAAAGAAACGCACAATAGCATGGACCGTCTGTTGCCTGCTCTCAACTACAAGGAAAACAAATGGTTGATCTGTGATCTTAAGTTTGTTGGACTCATTCTAGGACTTCAAGGTGGGTACACAAAGTATCCATGCTTTTGTTGTTTGAGGGACAGCTGGGCTGACGACCAGCACTATATCAGACAAGAGTGGCCATCCAGACAGGGATTAAAACCCGGCTCACACGTTTTGTCCTACCCTCTGGTTGAACCGAGCAAGATATTGCTTCCACCCCCTTCACATCAAACTTGGACTTATGAAAAACTTTGTAAAGGCACTGTACAGGGAAGGTGGATGATTTGCTTTTTCCTCCATCAGATGTTTCCACGGGTTAGCATGGAAAAACTTAAGGCAGGTATATTTCATGTCCTCAAATAAGGGAGCTCATCAAGGATGCTAGTTTTGATGAAGCATTGAATCCTGCTTAACTCTCTGCCTGGCTGTCCCTTACGTCAGTCATTGCAAACTTCCTTGGCAACCACAGAAGTCCTCAGTATGAAACAGCCATTGATAAGTTAATGGAGAACTTCCGCCAACTTGGTGCGTGCATGTCGGAGAAAATGCATTTCCTTCGGTCTCATCTGGACCATTTTCCAGAGAATTGTGGAGACTTCAGTGAGGAACAGGGTGAGCATTTTCACCAAGATCTCTGTGTGATGGAGGAACGCTATCAAGGATGATGGTATGTCAACTTTCTGGCTGACTACTGCCGGTGCCTGCAGAGGGATGTGGTGTTGCTAATTGTATAATAGCAATATCTATGTGCTTATATCTCAAAAACTTGATCTGATTGGGTAAAATGAGCATGAGTTTTGGAACCAGAGCAAAAAACTGTCTTATAATCAGTTATTATTTCTTAGACCTTCAAAATATGGCAGACCAATGTTATTTACTGCTTGTAGGGTTATGTAAAGGAGATCACTGCTGTTAGGTCTCCTGTTACAAACTGTCATGGTTGCTTAGGACCTCTGAACAACATGGTCGCCTGTTTGGGATGCGCAGTGTGTAGCATCATCATGACACTTGATCCTTGCATTACAATGTTTATTTCATGTAAGTATACTCTATGATCTTAAATACATAGTTAGAAACATAATAATCACTTCAATGTCAAGCACACATCTACCATAAGAAATTACAAAACCATACAGTAGAGTGAACAAGGACAGTTTTAGGATAATCCTGAGCAATCTTATTTAATTTCCCTCCTGTGCAAAGCCTCAGTGTTTCTACATGTTCATAATCCCAATGGGTTATTCATTGTCACTCGACCTTAGTGAAAGGGATTAATGTGGTGTTGCTTCTCAGTAATGATTACTAATGGTTGTCGCAGCTCGGTAAAACCCTTACTGTTTCTTAAACACTAAAATAATTATCAATGGCTTGACCTATACGTAGAAATGTTAGCAAACAAAATAAGTGCAATATTTGATATTTTTTAAGTGGTGGTAACGTTATTCATTAGGTTCTAAGAATACATAAATATTAACTGAAGAAATGATGATTGTAGTAGCAATGGAAATCCACTGTTCTCAGCCAATATGTTACCCAGGGAATATAATTCTTCAAACAGAAACAGAATTAGAGTGTTACTAAACCCAAAACAATAAAATCAGTCTGTATATGCAGTAAAGCATGCTTGTTATACTTACTGTGGTACCTAAAGGGTTAATCCTCTGCATTGTGTAAAAAGGCCGTTTGATCCTGTTTTTCTCTGCCCCTCCTCTTGTTCAAATGTGCACGTCTTATCTCCTGATAAGACATAATGAACCCATAGCCACATGCACATGCTCAGTTTAGTGTGTATTGCTAGAGAGGTTGTTTTTTTTTCTTGGGAGAGTGCATGTGATCAGCACAGGACCAATCAGCACTTTCCAGACAGAGGTCAGGGGTTTTGCATTCTCCTAGAGCAGAATGAAAACTCATCCTACAAGCTTTAATCAGTGCTCTGCTGGAAACTGATAGAAGTCACAAGACTGCTCTAACTGCTGATGAGAAAAGGTATTTAGCAGTTTATATTTACTAATATAGTTGCACTTCCATGTTCTGTGTACTGTGGGAGACCAGGTATAGGGAATACAGGGTCCTGGGTTTAGTAACAGTTTAAATCATATATATTTCCCTAATTCATTTGACTCAAAAAGTAATGTTCTATGGGTATTTGTTTCATTGATCTCCAAATGAATTTGACTTGTTTACTAAAAATTATCCACCAAAACTATTTTATAAAGTAAACTAAAATGCTTTATTACTACTTATTATTACAAGGGTTAGATACCACACTACATAGAGGGGCTTGTTGATGCAGGTGTGACTTCCACATTTATGTGCAAATGTCATGCAACCAAACACAACAGTGTCATTTTTTTGGGTAGGTGGTAATTGTGCTGGGAAAAATGTTTGGTTGTATTTACTTTGCTTTACTTTGATGCAAAGGTCCTTGAATTCCTTGAATGCTTTGAAGCATCTGTACCTAAGAGGAATTTGCAGTAAAATATCACATTGAGTTGTTAACTTGTAGTGTCAGTGATTATTTGCCTCCTTTAAACAATTGTTAACCTGGGATATGTTTTTTGGAATTGGATCTTTTGGTAACTTTACAAACCTGAATGAATACATTTCCAATATATACAAATATACAACAACAGTTTTATTTTGCAGAAAGGCTGCACCCTTGTCCTTATTTCAGTGACTTTCCCTAGGTTGAAATGATGTTATTAGTCTGCTGCAGGCAGGGGAAATCTCCTTTTCTCCACTGATCATACTGCATTACTATAGCAAATCATGAACTAAGAGGCCGTAGCAAACAGCTAAATAGCCAAAAATGGCACAAGCATCAGTATTTACATGTTCAGCATCTCTGTCCAGGAAGTAAATGTTGGCCCTAGATGATGCCTCAAAAAAGAAGATTTGTTTCTTCTGGAAAAAACAAAAAAGATGAAGACATTGTTAGAGGGAGTACTTTGATTTTTGTGGGAGGAAATACATTCTTTTAAGTGTTATTTACTACATATTACTGAGTATGAAAGATTATAAGATATGAGGCACTTGCTTAACCGCTTCCCATCCGCCCTATAGCAGAAGTACTGTTACAGGGCAGCACAGGTGCGCAAAATCACACATATATTATTATTATTATTATACAGTATTTATATAGCGCCAACAGTTTGCTCAGCACTGTACATTACAATGGGAGACAGTACACGAGGCAGTACAGTAACAATATGGTGCAATACACGAGGGTTCGAGGGCACTTCTCCTTGGAGCTTACAATCTAGGAGGGAGGGGATAGTGGTACAGGAGGAAATAGCTGTGGGGGATGGAGTGGTAGGAAGAGTGGAGGAGATTGGCAATTAGGTAAGGGCAGGGTAGGCTTCCCTGAAGAGATGGGTTTTCAGG